CAAGGTTTGTAAAAAAAAAAAAAAAAGATATTACATACACTATTAAGTATTTTATCATAAATATTTATAGAAATGATGACATATATGTATGTTGTTTTACTAATATATTTTAAAAATATTTTAATATTACAAAATTACAGTATTTTATAATATATGGTCGTAAGTAGAATCCAGCATTGAACAGAATTCATAATAATAATAATAATAATAATAATAATAATAATAATAATAAACTACAATTAAAGTTTTTGGACTGCCAAAAATGCTGAGCCTTTTTTTTAAATATATGATGATATAAATAGTAATATCATATTTGCCCAGTGTTCATTGTCACAAATTTATTTTATTTAACTTAAAATTGAAATTTTTGTTCAAAATGAATTTACTATTCTGCAGTACTTCTAGGTCACTAGTCTAAATAAATATTATAAAGCATTTAAATCAAATAAATTTGTGACAACGCTGAGCAAACATGGCCAAAAAAATTAAAATAAATACATAAAAACTAAAAATAAAATGAAATAAAATGCAAAATGGAAGCATTTTCATTAGTGATCTTGTAATCTTGGACCCCACTCGAAGTACCATAGTATTATAATCTGATACCATTTCTGCACCACAGTACTTTTTTAGGTGCTGTGCATCAATAGAGCTCAGTGTACGTGATGACAAAAACCAGCAGAACTCTGGGAAGTGTTATCATTACACAAAGTGACACTAGTGGTGCTCTGACTTCCGTGTGCGAGAACGCTGGTGTGGCTCGGCAAGAGGAAGTCAGACATTTGCGGTGTTGCTGTGTAAAGTCAAAGTAAAATCCCACCGAGGAATTCACAGACATTAGCACAACTCACAGAAACCTGTTAATGCTTCCTTATGCTTTATCCAGCTGCTACAGTCATTCACACATACACACAGACACACACACACACACACACTCACATCCACAGGCCATAGGGAGTAACCCTGAGCTTGAAATGTATTGCTTTACAGTGTGTTATTACTGTTCTTTTATTCCCACTGTATTAAGACAGATTTGAGATATATTTAACCACCACCTAAGATGGTAGGGGAAACCTCAAGGACTCCCTGCCAAGGAAAGTCCTGAAAACTTGATGTATATCATTATAAAGCCCTTGTGAAGCCGGACCGCCACCTCCACAATGCCTGCTTATGCAGGAGTGCATAAATTATTGCAAAACCTGACGGAAGAAAACGGGAGACGTTGAGGTAAAAAGGAGGGAAGCGGCCTGAAAAAAGCAAAGAAAATTGGCACGGTTAAAAATAATAAGAACATTTCCACATTTTAATTCACGTAACTGCAATAAAAACTGGCTAAAAGGTCAAAGCTGTCTAAACAGAAACAAAGAAATCAATTATATCATTATAATGGCCAAGCTGACAATTACACACCGAACCGCTGCCATATGAGCTTCAACAATATTTGCAGAAGATCAAGTACATCAAAAAATGAGGGAGCTGAAGACAGAAAGCAGAAAAAAATTCATAATTGTCATTGAATATCCCAGCTCTTCAGAAGAGAGCTCCGAACCTGCGGGGAGAACTCAGACAGAGCGATTACTGATGTTTTTATTGCAACCGAATACGCCGGCGCAATAATTGACTGCCTGTAGGAAATATGAAACTTTTATAGATAGAGTCTCCGGGCCAGCAAAGAGCCAGCGAACGTTTGAAGCATCGGGTTAGTTGGCACGGATAGAGACGTCGAGATTGAAGCCATTTACAGATGAGTCAATGAGTGCAAACAGGCATAGGACTAACAGGTGCAGAGAGAGAGCTGTCAGCTGTTTCCCTGCCGGCGCTCCGTAATGAGGATGTATCTCGTGGTGAAAGAAATTTATGGTGCTGCAGTTGCCTGTGTCTGTTTGCAAGCGAGCGGTGTGAGAAAACAAGAAGCGAGGAAGAGTTGAGATTGGTAGAGGGTGTGAAAGAGAATCGAATCCTTCAGTGGTCCTTCTTTGACGTGATTGGGGTAAAGCAAGGATCAATGAAACCTTGCTGTTGGGTGGAGCATCATGGGTAGATTTGAATCTGAAATCTTTTCTTTTGTTTGTTCCGCCACTGGCAGATCTAAATGAAAAGACAGAGGACTCAAAGGGCACGGCAGAAAATGAGACATGAAGCTTACTGAGAACAAGAAAGACGTCAATGAAGAAAGTTTGGAGAAGTTTCGGGTGGAATTTGAAACACTGACTGGTGTTTGATTTATAAAACACTGACTTTCAAAGTTAGTCTGTGTGTGTGTGTGTGTGTGTGTGTGTGTG